CTCTCTCTCTCTCTCTCTCTCTCTCTCTCTCTCTCTCTCTCTCTCTCTCTCTCTCTCTCTCTCTTTCTCACGCTCGTCGATATATATCACTGAGAACCGCGGCGTCCTTCCAGCGGGATCGCGGTAGGAACAGTTCGCTTCGCTGCCCAACACGCCACCGATAAATTATCAACGGCATCGCTTATACGCGATTCCGGCGGGCGGAAGCTGCTCGCGAAACCTCCCTGCGTGAACCTCCTTCGCTCGCCGCCGGCGTTCACGCACGCCGGAAGAGTCCCCGCGTGAGAAGCAGACAGCAGATCCGATCCGTTAACAATCTCCCGATCGCAACAGAGAATCTAGTTTAACTTTCCTTATCTACGTCATCTACGTCGGCCGCGATCGGAATCGTACCCTCGTCCCAGCCGATGTGATCGATTAAGCGATAAGCGATGCGCAGGCGATAGCGAGGGCGACGGATGATAGGAAGATCGTTGACGACCCGCCGTGGGTCGGGTTCACCTGGGTTTTCGTCGACGGATCTGAAACGAAGAATGCAAATTCATTTTTTTTCTCTCTCTCTTTCGAAACGAGTCGGTCCTTTCTCCTCTCAATTATTACGGGATTTTCCTATAGCAATTAGATAAAAAAAAAAAAATTAAAGTACTTATTTTCTCATCGAGTTATCCCACAATCGCGATTGCCTTCCCATTCTTCGCGCGTTCGCTAATTTTTCCGCGCTTTTCATTGTCAATTTGGATTTCTTCTATTGAAGGATGACGTGCGCCACACGCAGAATATATCTAATAATGGAGCCGAGTTGGACCGTTGAAATATTCCGTTATTTTGCAGTTATCTTCGCATTCGACATACATAATTAAGCCGGACTAATTCCGGACTAATTTCGGACGGCGCTTTTCCGTCGAAAATTTCCCTCCACTTCGTGGAGGGAACATATATTTCTCCGACGGATAATGCGCGATTCGATACGCCGCGGAATGAAGTCCTATCGCTAATAACGACACTCGATACGCGTCGCGCGCAGGATTCGCCTGACGATGATCGTGAGGCTCCATCGAAATTATCGAAATGCAAATCATGCGGATGTACGCGACGTAATAATCGCGGGATAATACAGTACCTATCGTGGTGGGACCCATTCCAGAGCCGGACGCTTCGTCGTCGTCGCGATCGTCGCGGTCGTCCTCGTCGTCATAGGTCTCGGAAGGACTGTGATGCCTCCAAACCGGGCTGTCTCCGCTTCCGGAACCCTCCAGGGCTTCGTCGGCCAGGAAGCCATCGGATCCGTCGGATAACGCCAATTGAGATTGCACCACCTGTCAGAGAAAACGCAAGGACACACATCGACACTTCCGTAAGTCAAAATATTCGAATGTATTTTTTCAAAGACACATTTAAATATTTAAAAATTATTTTATTTAAAAAATTATAATTATATATAATTATTATTATATAATAATTATTTTATAATTATATTTAATTATAAAAATATTAATTAAAAATAAATAATGATAAATACGCCTGCGTCCTATTATTACAAGAGCTCTAGGCAAATCTGGAAAAAATTCTCTGAGAATTCCCTGGCAATTTGTTAAAAATTTCAGGTAAAATGAAAATATTTTTAAATGTATTTTATAAAAAATATATATTTATTGTACAAGATTCTTAATATTTTCCATATTCATAAATCTTTATAAAGCATAAAATAAAATTAAAACTCGAGTTTTAATAATTAATTTAAATTTAAATATTCAATAATTAAATTTGGAAAATTTTGAAAGAGACTACAAGGGCTCTAAAAAATTAATATTTTATATTGCATAAAATTTTCAAACTTTATTTGCGAAAGCTACACACAAATTATGTAATGCGTAACCGGTACAAAATTCAACTTTTAAAAGTATTAAAACAAATATTCATTTTCATTAAACAAAATTACACTTGACGAAATCGTCCTCTTCAATACTGAATATTGCATTAATCGTAAAATTGCTCTGATGTTCAAAGTAAATGGATCCACTGTTATCATTAACAATTCAGTCAGTAAATTCCCGATTACAAAGACAAAATATTTAAAAAAGCAACTTTGAAAAAATTCTCTGATTTTTCAAGGCATAAACAAATTTCCTGAGAATTTCAAATTTTCCAGATTTTCCTAGATAATAGCCTGTAACTATTTCTGCGTCCTATTAGACGAAAGTGATTGTTATCTAATCATCGCTCGGTTTAACATTATAAGGTGGCTACAAATTACAAGTTAACCACGAAAACGTAATTGATTAAGCGCGCGGTAACGCACAATCTTCCCAAATTAGTAGCTATTGTAACGGACACCTCGGAAAAATCGCGGGCGCTCGACAAGAGGCCGATCGTACAATCGCGAAAAGATGATAGGGATTAAGCTTTGTCATCGGCAACTCATTAAGCCCGTCCCACTTACCCAAAGATCTCAATTAACCCACTTGACCCCCAGCACAGAATATAAACAGCGTCCAATTAATCGCCGGCACACTCGCCATTCGAGCCTAGTTACATCGCGCCGCGCAACATCGAGACGTGGATTTATATTCTGTTAAAATCTACTGCCGACAGGTAGCCTCTAATCTCGCTGTCGCGCGAATGGCTCTTAATCATTACTTAATGCTCGCACCTAATATCCGCCAATAATATATCTTTAGTCCTGCTATTCACTGCGGTTTTCCGGCCCGCCGCTCGATCGCGCGATTGTGTACGCGAGATATACACGGTGTGCAAACTGTTGAAATTTTACCCTCGCGATCCGAAGAATTCCGAGCGAATTTTTCGTCGGCGAGCATTTCGTCACGCCTTCACGAAATCGCGGGATACAAACAAAGTCACACGGACGCTGTGTTATTCGTCCGAGGAATGAGTCGCGCGAACGGCGAACGGCAGGATCGATCACGGACACCGTGTATATACACGCGTGTATGTGCGCGATTATGTACGTGTCTCACGACACTCTAATCAGAAGTAAGCGGTACCCGATTTCTCGACACGCGAATTAACATGCGTGTGGACACTATGCGTGTGCCCCACACGCGATGGTTGCCAACTTTAACGACCCTGCCTGGAGGACAGCGAGGAAAACGAAGCGATCAAACTTGAAATTGTCTAGAAATTTAGAACGAAAACTATTCGTATTTCGAAATCTAGCCTCTAAATTTAGAAATTTAGAATTTTTTTCATATTTTTCTAATTAATTATATATAGGTATAATTGCTTGGAAATTTAATAATATATGTGTATATATATGTACATTTTTAGATGTGTGAAGAACTACGAAGTGATCATCATCAAAATTGTTTAGAAATTTAGAAGAATTATTTCGAAATCTACCTTCAATTTAGAGTTTTCCCGATATTTTTATAACTAATGCAATATAATTGCTTGGAAATATAACATACATATATTTTAAAGACCGCAAAGCGATGATCAAAATAGTTTAGAATAAAAACTATTCGGTTCGAAATCTATCCTCAATTTAAAGTTTTCGTGATACTTTTATATAATTTTTATATAACTTTATTTTTATATAATTAATTGCAAGTATAATTGCTTGGAAATATAATAATGGTATACAAGTGACGATATTTGCTATAAAACAAAATTTTAAAAAACAAAGCGATGATGACCAAGATGAAAATTGTTTAAAAATTCAGTATATAAAATTCACTAAATAATTTCAAAATTTATTCACAATTCCAATTTAGAATTTTCCCAATATTTTTATAATTAACTGCAAGTATAATTTGCTTAGAAACATATATAATAACATAACTCTTAGGTGATACATATGCAACAGGTACAAATCAGACAAATGACTTTTCAAAATCATAATAAAATTTCCTATGGTATAATTATTTCGCAATGTGTTTTTACACTTCATGGAACGAGTTTGAGCACCTATATGCGCTTTCAGGTGAGATTCGTGCCTCCACGTGCCTCGTTCTCGGCATACCGTCTACGATCCCGGCTCTATGAATAATTCTAGATTAGACGAGAATTTATGATTCGTCTGGTACGTTCGTCTGGCAGTTACGGGTCACCGGGCGGGCTTTCCGCGTCAACGAGTTATCGCGATAACAGTTTACGAATCGCGACAAATCGTGCAGCGCGAGATCTACATTCAACACCGGAAGCGAACCGGGAAAGGAATTTTTAATGGACCCGCCGGGATCTCGCGTTCTTAATTACATTCCGAGACAGCAACGCGTATTCTTCGTTCACTTTTCATCAATAAAGTAAACAGATGTATAAACAGACAGTTTTGTTAAATTTTACTTATGCCTATTAAAAAACTGCAGACTTTCCTCTTTTCGATGCAATTCTTTGTTTTTTTTTCTTTTTTTCTTTTCTTTTTCCAACACCCGAATACATTCAAAAAATGACAGCTGATCAGTTTAGTCAAATTTAGTCAATTTTTCTTCGGGACGCCCTGTAATATTCTTGCTTGTGTATGAGAACATATATATAAAGTCTTGATTTAAGATTACTTTTTAATACTCAATAAATTTTAATAATTACAGATAATTATTATAATTTTATACGCGTATTATAAAATCTGTATTGTATATAATTATCAAATTACAGTACGTAAAATATTCATCTCGGAATATCAATCTCGTAAAGGAGAGAACGTGACTTTGGCTCGTACGCTTCAATCAGCGACGAGAGTCGGCCGCCTATTGTTCGTCGCACGGCGTTTGAATCGGCGAACGAATGAAAATTGCGGCACGATTTAATCCGAGGGAGACGAATCCACTCAAGACCTCAGCGACGAATTACGACTTCATGTACTCACCTGATTAATGTGCCTCAATTGGTCAATGAGCGCACTGGTATTCGTGTTGCTGGAGTAGGTAGCCGGCGTCGACGACATCGTTATCGTGAATTCAGGGTTGTATCGCTGGGCATTCACACTAGAATCCACCACGGTTTTCGTATATCTGAAGTGAAGAGGAAAAATGGCGATTATCGCAAAATTGAATCGAATCTCGTACAAACGCGAATCGAGCGATTTTATAAATAGATAATTTACCTCACGCTTCACGACCGAGGAGGGAAACTTGGCTTGCAAACATTTTTTTAACTACTCTCATTTATCTATATTAATTTAACCTTAATTTACTTGTTCTTATATCTGTATCTATTAATTATATACATTACATCAACTTTTTTTTACATCTACATATTACATTTATTCTATTATTACAGAATCTGCAGTTTATATAATTCATTTATCACGGTAATCAAGTAAATGATTTTGTAAATAAGAAATATATCTGAACACACGTAATAAGAGTATAATAATTTTTATTATATTATAATACGGAAACATGAACGTGTAGAATTTGAATTGAGATATAGCTAAAAGAAATATTAAGAAATATAAAAATTAAAAATAAAACTTAAGAAATACAGAACAACTAAAAAATATTCAGAAAAGAAAACACCGAGAGTAATTTCATAAATAAATAACGCGACGATCTTATTATCGGACTACATTTAGACTCGACTATGCGAAAACGCCTGGTAGCATTTATACACAATGATCGGAGAGTTATGAATAGAATACACAGAACGAGAGATTTCTTTCGCAAGCTCGACGCGATAGCTCGGGGCCTAGTTGCATAAATCGCGAACGTTACTTCAACTATCGCGCATGGCTTCTATCTTCCCGTATAACGATAAGCTTCTCCGCTGATGCTTTCCAGCATGGGTGCTACCCAAATGAGCCACGAGCTGCTGCGCAAATTCATTAGAATTTTAATGAAGCGCAATATCGGTCCTGCGATAACTAAATTACGCAGTCAAATGTAAACGGAAATTTCACGTAACTTTCGAAAAATTTTCGACTCGCCGACTCTTTGCCTTCCCTCGGATGAAACGTGAAATTTTCCCAGGTCATTTTCCTCTAAAATGTAAAAATTAAAAATCTCGATCTACTGGCACATACTGACGCGTAACCGAGCGAGTTTCGACCTATAGCGATCTGGCATCATTTGACGTATCGCAGAAACGCGACGCGCGGGTCGATCCGCGCGCGGCCATCGCGCGGCGTTCATCCGAGCGAGGCGCGGTTATCTTCCGCGCCTCTATCTCTCGCGGGGTGCTGACCAACAAAAGAGACAAATCGCCTCGTGCCGCTTCGGGGAATACGCCTTCCGCTTTTCGATCCGCCGCGCGATTAAGCGCCTGCGAATCAATGAACCGGGAACAAATATATCGGCGAATACTCCAGAAGCCGACGATACTCCGATACTCCGCGGTGCTTTACAAAATAAGAGCGGACGTTTAATTTATGTTATATCGCGCTCCTTCTCCTTTTTCCCCTTTTTCTTCCTTTTTGTAGTATCGCATTTATTATCGCAATACGCGCAATACGTACACCGTGTAAACTGTGCGTTACGCTGCATTTGCTGCATTTTAGATTTCGTCGCTACGCAACGCGGAAAAAAAGTGTATATATAGTCTTAAATCAAGACTATATATTTTATATATGGAATATTACAGGATGTAATCCATGAGAAATTGCTCGAACTAACTAGCTATTTTCAAATTAGGTATTTAGGTAATGAAAAAATTGCATTGAAAAGATCAAAGTTTGTTAATTTTTAATGAGTATAAATAAAATTTAATAAATACATGTTTGTATACCAATTTATTTTACTTATGAAAAATGATGAAAAATATGCTAATAAAAAATAAATACTAATCAAATAAGCTAATAATAAATATTTTTGAAGTGCTATTTGAAATTGTATAAAATTCAACGTTAAAGAAAAAAGTTTTTATGAGTTTTCGTAAAAGAATTGAGTTATTTTTTCAATAACTGAACACATTTGAAAATAATAGCTGATTTTATTGAATTGATTGAGAAAATATTTTTATGAGTTTTCGTAAAAAAATTGAGTTTTTGCTTTTTTAATAATTGAATACATTTGAAAATAACAATTGATTTGATTGAGTTTACATTGATGTAAATATAGATATTCTCATATATAAACAAGTTATATTCTTCATAGAAGATTTTTTTAGTCTTGAATTAAACAAAAATAGTGCTTGCCTCAATACAAATTTAGATTATCAAATCAAGAAAAAATTAAAATTAAAATTAAAATTAAAAATTAAAATTAAAAAAAATTAATAATATTCTTGCTTGTATATGAGAATATATTTTGATTTAAGACTTATTTTTTTCTGTGTACATTCTTATATATAAGCAAGAATATTATAATCTTCATGTAAATGAATTTTTAGTTTTGAGTTGGGCAAAAGTAATATTTGTATCCATACAAATTCAAATCGAGATTAAAATTTTTAACAAGATTATAATATTCTTGCTTATATATGAGAATATTTGTCGTGACTTAATTTTTTTTTCTGTGAAGCAAAAACTATTAATGTTAGATAAATAATTCAGCCTAATTTCTTAATTAAAATAAAATCATCATAATTATAAAAAAAATGATGACATACTCATATTTTACTATTGCTTGTTGTGCCATTGGCACTGACTTTTATATAAATCCCTAATTTTTCTTTCGTCTACGTCCGAAGGTCTCAATTTCTTCGCTCGATCTACTATTTCTTTCCGCTATTATTCCCGCCATTCGTATGAAAAGTATTACATCGCCAAACAAGCGTACCGAAGCATCCAGCGTAGCCAGAGATAGCTCGATAGCGAATTGAAATATTGCCGAAGTCGTGGAGCCCCGACTCTTCTCGGCGCTCCTGAATGCCGGCCATTCACGGAACGACCTCCTTCGAGAGAGATCGTCCTTCATCCCCCCCTCTCCCAAACCCCTTTTCACCCTCTCGCGCACATGTCAGTTTTCCCGTACCACTAGCATCTTCCAACGATTTTCCTCGCGAACTTTTCTCCGCTCCTTTTCCACTAAATCGCATCCTGCGGCATCCATCTCGGGCCATATCTTCCTCTAAAGCACTATATAAGATGCGTAAGTTTCCCTTACGTTACTTCCTTGTTCAGTTCGTGAATTTTGACATTTTGACAAAACTCGAGTATTACACAATTTCAAGGTGCTCTTAAAATTATTAGTACGCTCGTTAAAAAAAAGGAAGGAGCAGAAAGAGAGCGAGAGAAAGGTATATGAGAGAGACGAGGTATATGGCGTTTTTCTTTCGCACCCCCACCTGTCGCTCCTTTCTCCGCTTGAGTACCTCTTCATCCCCAACACACAAGTACAATCGATCTTGACAGCGGAGAGACGAAGACCGGGGGTGAAACGAACCGACAAGAACTGGTTCTCGGCGCTCGAACGCGAAAACCATCCGGACGAGAACGATGCATTTCCACCTCGGTGCGCGTACGGAGTGTTTGATAATTGGCGTCGCAACCGAAAAAGGGACGGAAAGAAAAGAAAAAGATAGATATAATTCCTCTTACCTCGTTTACGGGCGGGGGAGGAGGGGGGGGGAGGGGGAGAGCGCATTATTTCCGATCCGAGCTTATTTTCTCTCGGAGGAACGAGCCTCGTTCCTCGTCTAGATACGTGATCGACGTGCGATCGACGCTTTTGTAATTAAAGCTCGAGTTAAATTTCCGCTTAAGTAAAGTCAGCTCGGATAAAGGATATCCGTCGGATAGTTAAATTCCCTCGGAGTTTAAATTCGCAAGGCAATTCACAGGACTCGACTTTCAGCTAGCCGAAGGCTCCTTTTGATATCGCTCGACTCACTCCCGTCTCGTGGAAAAGTGCCCCGTTGGAAAACGGTCAAAGAATCCGTGAACGAAGGGAAATGCAGGGGAGAGGAGGGGATATACCTTTTATATATCGCGTATAGACGATAGCATATATGCGCGCATCGATCTCCACCGCGGCCGGGAGGTGGAACGTGCTTTGGGGCAGATTAATATTTCAATGCCGGGGAAGAGCGCCGCGAGACGCTCCGCCATTATTCCGCGGATTCCGAAAAGCAGAAAGATATTCGTATATTCTCATCGGCGAAATAGGACATCGGTACAATACCGACCCGAAATACTAATAGAAGTCGCACATCCCCCTAGGCGAGCTTTTCTCACCTCGAAGGGGGTGGTACCAAATTTCCTTTGTATATTATATACTGAACGAAGAAATTTCATGAACTTCACCAAAAAAGCTTTGTTCTAAATGCAAAATTATTATGTATGTACATGTGTTTTCAAATTGCAATTAAATCAGAATGATAATATTCTGCCCGGCAGAAAAGATTTTTCTTTTTCAACACGAGTATGAATAGTCATTTTCGATTGTTTTTGTTTGTTAAATACTTTTGTTAAATACAAATTCGTCATTTACACGTACAAATTTGGCTAGCGCGTCACAATATTAAGAAAAAGAGGCCAAAAAACGATAATTTTGAGGATTTCCATGACGTAGCAGCAGCAGCAGCAGCAGCAGCAGCAGTTCAAAATTTTTTTTTATAAATTTTATTAATGCCATATAAAATATATAACTTTTAGATTTAAAACATATTTCATTTTCGACTTTTTTTTAGATATAGCAATATGAAAACAACTCTTTTTCAACATATAATATATGTGAAGATTTTTTTATTTCATCTTAATTCTCCATTATATGAAAAGTAAATGCTTTTTTTGTATTTACAAAATAGAATTGGATCATATCAAAAAGCAATAAAATTAATGAAATACAATATGATAAGAAGATTAGAATAAGAGCAATTTTTGAATTATTATATCACAAAAACGAAAAATTATACCGAGACGAGACAAAATGCATTTTAAAGTTAAAAATTGATATTTTCGCATTGGATTAATAAAATTTACTTAAAAAATTTGCTGCCCGTATTACAACGTTATGAGAACCTTCAAAATCGTCATTTTGGCCTCTTTGATATTATTTTTCTCAAAATTATAACGTAGTAGCCAAATTTAGACAACGGATTCGTATTCAACAAATGAAAATCGGAAACATTGGAA